ATGTAGGTAATAATAAATAAATGAATCACGTTGCCTGGTCTACGAATTATTGTAATTTCAAAAATATAGTAGACGATTAAAACAATATATTTATGTTTAATATTGATAAGTTCAATGGGTAAATAAAATGTTCAATGTGGTAATTCCCGCGGAAAAAAAAACATCCCGTTTAACCGCAGATGACTCATCCGCTATCGACCAGGCGAAAACGCCTTAGCTGTGTGACTCATCTGACGGCCCTAAGGACGAAAGTGATTTCGATCCGACAACCCCAGATTCCGGGATATCTCGAAGGTCAGTAGCATCGACCAAATACGTAACACAGCATTTATGGGTATAATATATAAAAGTAGATTTTACTAGTATTAATTTTTTTATTTTTACGAGTAACGTTATACTGCCTATTTATTATTGGAATTGAATTTACTTTTTTGTTCAGACCAAGTCGATTATTAAATAGGTTATATTTATTGGCGATCGATGAATATTATAACATGAAGACAAATTTTTCGACGAATGAAGTTAGGAACTTCTCTATACTGGACATCTGAACGCCTCGACTTTTTAATCAAAATGTTTATTATTATTATTGGTATACAAAGAACGGATAACATGATTGTTGCACACGGTATTTGGTATTTTGTTTATTAATTTCTCGAAAACAAAATGATAACGATATGAAACATTTATAAATATTTTTTATAAGGTTATTTGTTTGACATATTTACTCATTGGATGGTCTCAACTTTATCAATATATTTCATTGTTGCTAAAGATTCTTATCAGATTTCAAGTATGAGCGTGTCAAAAACAACAGTTATGTTTCTAAAACAAAAGAAAAAAATGCAATCAATGAACAATAGTGAAATTAAGTTATGACCTATGGGGTACTACAACGCACAGACCTCAATAACTACCGAAATTGATATAGTTTCATTGCCGAAGGGCTCCTAAAAATTAAAATAATATATTTAATATATTTAAATTAAATTATGATAAAAATATAATAGGTATGTAATACACTATATGAATAATTATAGGTTAATATACATTATATGTATAATTAAATGTACCTATATTATACATATATACACAATAATATACTTGTAAGTAGTTAAAGTTGGAGGTCAGAATTTTCTAAGAACTATAAAATTCTCATTTAGATTCTGAACTCATATAATACATATAAATATATTGTATTTGTAACAACTATTTTTTTTCTCCATAGAAGATGTTTCTTGTAACAAAAAAATGTTATAGATATTGTTTCAAGTCCCTTATATTTTAATAATATATTTTTCTGAATTACAACATAATAACAACAATTGTTTGAGAACAAATCGTAATTATATGTTTGAATATTAGGTCAAAATGTGAACTTCAGACTTATGAGAAACCCTGTACCTATGTAATTTTCAAGTTTTTTGCATGTATTACATAATTCTTATAGAAAAACAATTTTTGAAATTTTAAAATGTCTATAAAAAGCACAGAAAGAGCCAACATGTTGCCGTGTCTAGAGAATACTAATAAAAATATTTCATGACAATCTCAAATACCGTTCATTCATTTTTGAATCATAACAAAATAACTAACTCAATTTTCTTATAAATATTTCAGTTTTATAGTTACGTGTTTTAACTCTACACTTTTTACATCACTCTGCTCTGAATCTAGAATAAAAATCGAATGCGTGTACTTCTGATTACCATTCACTCGAATGGAATACCCGAACATATATTGAACCACGAATCACCTAGAAGTGAAACGGTGCTTCGACGATCCTGATTGTTGGTAACGATGTATTGTCGGGTCGCAACCTCATAAAATATTTTCTGTTCTATTATATTATTATGCACTTACAGCGTTGGACGGCTCTATTTTAATATCAAGCAGGCCGGTATCAATTAATGGGGACAAAATAATATAGTACCCACGGGCTTCGAGACGTCCAGATCATATCGCGGTACACCATATGCTGGCGGTTCCTCTTTATGAACCACGTGACGCTGTTCAAGAGCAGAATATTAGAATAAGTACAAGTACCCATAACCGTTGAATATGTAAAATATATAGTATATCTTAGGCCATAGCTGTTCCGGAAACTACACACCGAACTTAACATTGTTTGCGGGTCAACACACCCGTGTGATCGAACTCGTACAAGTCGTAAACAAGTTGGACTTAAAAAAAAATGACCGTTTTAACTCTTGACATTTATGGTTTCGTCTGTTCGTATATAAAAAGAATAACATACCTACCGTCTACCCATCGCATTTTTGTAATAATATAACACTGTTGTTGTTATTATTATTATTATCCTTATTATTCATTGTATTTTCGAAACGTAGACCACTAAATTCTAATTCTAATAATAATAATAATAATAATACCATAGGTGCCTTAGTCAATACACGATTATTCGTGATCGAGGTCTGAATTCTCTGAGCATAAACCATAAATGTAAATATCGGTTACAAATTACAATAGATAAGTAATTTAGTTTTTTTTTAAACAGTTTGCAGATATGCATCATAGAAATAAGAAACCATAATCCACCAGTTCGTACACCAATAGGTGCTATGTAGGAACAATATAAGTATATTGTTAGGTGCCTATCGTCATATTTAAAACTAGAAAATTAACTTAACATACTTATAATTGAACAATCAAAAAATATTTTTTGCCACATTGCTAGCAGTAACGCAATCGTTTTTAGTTATTTTTCAAATATTTTTGTTTCGTTTTATAACAAGTGTTAGTCATCGAATACAATTTGTCATTTGTCATATTTATATACCTAACGATAAAATTGGTTGATAAGATGATTATTGAAATTTGCTATAAGTGGATCAATTTAAGCTTTATTTATAATGTAATTAATTATTAGTAATAAGTTATTAGTTGGTGTTTCGTAACAATTTACAAGTACTTCCGGTACTTCCGTACAATAGGTATTATTCACTATTTAATAACGAAATCGTGTATAAGAGTTATCATTAACACTTAAAGCTTATCACTGTTGATATTTCCTTATTCAAACAATGAGATATATAATAATAAATTACCTACATACTACATAGTATATATCTACTTAAATACTAAAATACACCATTTTATAACACACGAATGCATAGAGTAAATGATTTAAAATTGAAATAACTTACGTTTATACCTTATTCTACCGATGTATTAACTTAGATAATTATTGCATATTGACTCACAACAAATCTATAAAATAATTAATTTAAAACAAAAATATAGCATTTTAAATTTTTCATATTTTAACAAGTTGTAAAGTTGTCAAGGTTTTATTTTGTCTACACTTTACTGTCCATCAAAACATAAAATTTACGTAATAAAATGAAGGTCAAATTTTTAATTATTATCAGTCATGAAAATTAAAAAATTATCAATATATACCTATCATACAATATACAATTCAGTTACAACGGTAAGTCATTTACTACGGGTTCTTCTAATACACCTATATAATATATAAATACATGTACCTATTTGAAAATTAAACTAATAGAGTTATCAAAATATTTTATAATAAGTCCAATCACATATTTCCTACTCTATTTATAACTCCTTAATAACTATTGTATTATTCCACGTAGAGGAATAGATAACATACTTAGTTTTCTTATATAACATATTACATAGTTATATAGCATTTAGTTAATTAATTGATTAAGCCCAGTACAATCGATGATATTATGATATGTTTTTATTATACATGATGCAGGTGTATAAAACATTTAGCTTGACAAGTAATATACCTTTTAAAATACAAGTTGAAATATGAACAATATCATAGTCCGTGGGCAACCACATAATATTATTATTTGTATTAGTATCACAACACCGATTACGACGATTTTAAATAAGAATAATAATTCTTGTTTGAGAAAAATGAGCGCAGTGAAAAAAAAATAGTCACGATTCCCGTGTTTACAATATATTATGATTTAAAGTTAGTACTCTGTTGTTTTAACTTGCATATTTTCAATGAGAGACGAATTATGACCGATGGATCCAAAGTGCTTTTAAATATGCACTGTCTCCCAAGCGGCTAAGCATGTGTTATTCTTTGTTCATTAAATATTTTTTGTTAAGTAGGTACCAGACGACACACTTGTGAATTGTTGACATTACCTACTTGTCCAGTCATTCATCCGTCTCTTCGATTTTACGAAGTGAAATTATAGTTTGTTCACGAGCATGTGCGATATGGGTGGGAGACTATTTAGATTTGGAGGATAAACCACCCGAAATCGGTGCGGTGTTTCGTATAATAAAGGGCTCTGTGCTATCCAACATTCACTAAGTCATTTATTTCTAATATAATACAAATATCAAAGCATTAGTTATGGGGTGTGTAAGATTATTATGCTGAAAGATAAGTGTAATGTGTAGGGAATGTTGTGTAACAAAAATAAAATGTACAGGTGAATAGGTAGTTTCCTGGTAAAAAAAACTGGTTTTTACCTTATCTATGGAAAAATTCGTGCCTAGTGATTTTACGACTCGAAGTAAACAATACAACCGCGATGTCCGCAGACTGCAGAGCATTTGGCAGGCTTTACACTGTTTATATGGTATTGTTCGCATCTTGCGCAAGTGAGACGTTGATATTTCACAAACGCCTCACGAAAAAACCCAATTAAAAACCAACATGTTATTTTACATGGCCATCGTTTTTCGGTGGCACTGAAAAAAGAATTACAACCACATAGTGTTCAAGCGTTTAACTGATACGCGATTATTTGGCAAAAAAAAGTCGTACGTTTCGAATCCCGACCTCGTATGTTACATTCGGGTACAAATTACTGGATGCTATTCTAAATTTCTAATACATAATATTAATGTTGGTTGTGATAGGTATGCGCTAAGTGATGTTATTCCTGTGAGCTCGTTGTTCGTCACTACGACACGACTATTTCACGACCACTACTAACCACCTACTATTTATTAACTAATATTCGTCCGCATACCTTTGTTGTAGCTCGTCGCGATGGTACTAATCGTGTCCCCGGGTCATGTGTCGATGGTATCACAGCCCATGGTGCGAGTAGTTCTTTCACGGTCACAAGCGGCGCGGTTTTTGATTTCACTCGAACAATTTATATATTTTTTATCGGTGGAACCGAACGATCATAGACCAAAATCGGGTGTTTGCGTTTTGGGCACGACGTCTCGATCCAACGCGGAAACCGGATGGGAACGGACGCACACGCGCAACGGACCTACCAACTGTGTTTGCCGGACGGGCGCGACGCTGAATACGTTGCGCTGAAGCAGAAGCACTACACTGTCGACGTCGCGCGGGCACATGCGAATCCCGCGCGTTCACCACAAGCAACGGTTTCCCCCCACCCCCCGTAATCGACCATTGGTGGGAACGTACGGTCCGCGCCGAACGCAATCGTCGTCGATGGTATGTAATAACATTATTAATAAGTAATAACTATTAGTTACGGTCAGACATGGATTGATGAAGGGGAAGGGGGGAGGGGGAGGAGATAGGGGGCCACGTCCCCGGGGACCATATTATAGTGTCGTCAGCTCAATACGTCATTTCAATCAATGGTGGTGGTCGTTTGTACTTTTTTTAGTGTAAAAACAATTATATTTTTTAAGATAAACTAAGGACAAACAAATTTCAATAGGTATGAAAATACTAAATAGTAAATATTTATATTTTATATGTACCGGTAACACTATACCTCCTACCGTATCGTTATCAGAGACACTGTTTTCGAATTTGTGTGTTTTTAGAATTTTCATACTATTTTTCTCCAGAATATGACCACGAGTTTCGACGATAACGACATAAATAATAATTTTTTTTGAATAAAAAAAGTATATAAACCTATAAAATATACCCGACCTATAATAATGTCTGATAAAAAAAAGAGCCTCGATAAAGTCGGAGGAGATAAAATAGAAGGAAAACGTAAACAATTTTGTTTAAAATTCTCCATAAATGATGGGGTTTTAAATGTTCTTGTGTTATTATATTTAATATCTTACATAAGTATTAGAGTAGGGAATAAAAAAAGTGATCAACTATTGCATTATCTTTAAAAAAAATAAAGTACCTATTGACTGTAACAAACTATATAAAATGTATTAGTATTCCACTTAAAATTGAATGCGAGTAACAGTGAATATAGGTAAACTCTGTGGATTAATTCGGAGTGATGTCAAAAAAGAACGTTGCTTAGAAATTTAATTTTAAAATAAGCCAATATTTCAATTAAGTTACAAAAATCAAGGGTTTTACACTTAAGTTGTGGAATTTGTACAACTAAATTTGTTTTTCATTCGGACCATTCTCAATTCAACGAAATATTTGTACTTTTCGAAACCAGAAAATGTGTAAATTGTATTTTTAATAGATAATAGATATTAATACCTGACATTGGCCAAACACTTAAGTATAAAATAGACAAGTACCTATTTAATAATTTAATAACTAAACAATTTAACTTTTTTTTTCTTAAAACGAATAATAATATTTAAATGCACATAATGTTAAAAACTTATATATAATATATTAACTTAATTAAATAATGTCTCGGCAACAGATAAAACGTGGCCAATGTCGATATACGCCTGTATATATGCTACAGCAGATACACTTCTAGCTATCAACTGATATCAAAAAGGACCATGTATACATGCATTGATTTGATCATACTGCATCAGAGACATTAGGCGTTGTGACACAAGTAACATTATCAAAATATTATATCAATGACCTTGTTCAAATAGTCTCAAATTCACCCAAATGTGACATTGGTCCTTCTTGGACCAAACAAATTATAAAGATACCTACACGTCACTTATCGAGCTCAATATTATTGTACGGATTGTATTTTATTTTCAACTGATGCTGGTCTTGCACTACCAATTATCTGCCCCTGAACCCCCAAAGGTCTGAATCCGGGATTCGTTACAGCCCATACCAATAATTATTATCTATAGGTATTAACTTATTAATTATTACTTATTACTTATATAAAGTATATTATACACGTAAAACATAATACAACAAATAATAATTATGGGTAAACATCAAAATACCTACCGAACGATGATGATAATATTATATACACAGTAATAATAACCTATGGTCGGGCGAGATAACTTTTCAGTCGGCGTGTCCAAATGTATAGACGAAGGTAAAAAATTACACGATTCCGCTCCGTGCAGTGGAGTAACATGCAGAAATACCTACTGCGCAGTACTTACAGCTCTCTCCTACCAATACGACCTATTACCTGTGCACTGTGCATACCGTGGACCCGCGACATTGGCGTAAAATTGTCTGCGACTATGCACAAGTCTAATATTTTCGGCGCTGTGGCGACAGTGTACTCTGACGACTGACACACACACATTAGGTACCTATAGAGAGGGAGAGATGCTTACTATAGTGTTGACACGACAGTCATCGAACCTATATTGCCTATATATTATGGTTCGAGTTTCGGTGCGGTCTGTCGGTTTACTTTATAATAGTATTTAATAGTGTGTAATATGATATCGTAGCCAGTAGGTACCTACTTGCGGGCCACACGACACATACTTCGTTGGTCGATCAAAAATACAACAGGAACTATCTATAAGCAATTTTGTATTCATCAATCACTTAACTTATAATGATTTATAGCTATAATATTTTTATTATCTGTTCTGCATGATATGTGATATATTAATACTACTCATGTCAGTATAACATGTAATTAAAAATAGTATTTTATTATTTTAACTACCTACCTACGTACCTATCTTGGATACACACTGATTCTATGTAGATACCTACGCGCATTTCTTAGAATAAAATGTCGTGTTAAATATACATTGTTACATATTTTTGAACCTAAGAATGTATATGTAAGAATGTTCAAAAACAGACACATAAAGTCATGGTCGAATTACTGTCGGATTATCAAATGGTATTTAACTTTATTTTGTGGCGCAGGTACATAATATTATTTATTATTATATTTAAATGTTTAAATACTTGTAAAATATGTATAATATATATTTAATATTTGAATATAATGAAATCACTTTTGTATATTTTATGATTATTTCATATTTATGACATACCGTAGGGCAAATGATTATATAGGTATGTACAATATATATTAATAACATAATGTGATAAGATTTTAACTTTAATTTGTTTATAAAATATGAATAATATTAGGATGTATATAAGACCCATTTTTACATTAATGGATTGGTAATATTTCTATATTAAATAAGAAGGAATATTTAGTACAAAATTTACCTTGGACATTTTGATAGTTTGACTGAAACTAAATATATGTAGGTGCAACACAATACAAATTACAAATACGAACGTACTTGTGGGAGTATGGGCTATGTTAAATATATAATTTAAATAAAATAATTTCCTTAAACTATGAAATACTTACTTTTTATTAAAACTCTAATTGTTTTTATACAGTTTTTGTACGCACAAAAATAATAAAATATCAATGCGCATTGGAATTTCAAAAGTTATTATTTATTATTATGATGTATTAATGTAGGTAGATAATGTATTATTTACCACACTACCTGTTGCTATTGTGTATTGTAGTGCTGCCATGTCTAACATATATATATTTAATATTTATGTATATTATAATTCTCTCTTACTAAAAAAAATTCATAGTAACATTAATCACGAGTACAAAGAATATTTTAATTATTATTGATTTGTTATTTCTGAAGGTGCTTTCAAAATGTCCATCTATTTATCGTTGTATTATTCTATAGACCACAGTCTACATTAGTACATAGTAGCTGGTACCTGCAGCAAAATATTCGAGACATTTTACAGTGTACCTATAAACAATTACGACTTTAATTATTAGACGTTTTAATGAAACACAAAAACAATTACATTTTAATTTATTGATAAGTTGGTTATAGTAAGTTAGTCCCAAATATGTTATTGTTAAAATTAACTTATAACATGTTTTGGGATTAATTTAAAAGTTGAAACATAAAAATCTATTTTCCTCAATACATAGGTAAAATAAAAAATAATATTATAATATAATATTATTACTTTTAGCCTAAGTTGATAATTATCAAATAATCATATCGGATGATTGCATTTCCTCGATATTATAATAATAATTATTTTTCTTTTGTTTATTAAAACATTTGTGTACCCCCCAAACTCTAAAGTCTGTGGTACATAATCTTATTATTTTGGCGTCAGCATTTATCGTATTCTCACGAGCCTACGTGACGGTGGAGCTCGCCCAGTTATTTTCGCTTGTTTGACATTTAATATTCTGAAGATGCAGTGAATGAGCAAGTCAGTGATGCAGATTGCAAACTGCAAACGCTGACTTATGTTCAGAACCACTGCCTTCTGACTTATATGAGTATTTAGTTAAACATTTAAATAAATCAGTGTTAAAATCGTCTTTAATACGGTAAGATATGTTTTAGTTAAATTTTAAGTTCCTTAACACTCAAATAGTTTGGCCCACAATGTTATGCCAGCATATAAGCTTCAAATTAAATTTATAACGTTTACGTATAAACATATAATAGTTGTGAAGATGTAACTATAAATGCAGTAATCATTGACGGAATCAAACCTTTTTTTAAAATATTTAAAAAAAATTATGTCTAGATTTCAAAAGAAAACTATACTCCTACAAATAAAATATACATATCGATTCCACTTAGTATGTGTACATCAATATAAATTATTATTTTAAAAAGTAATAGTGATCAATTTGATCATATGATAATGTGAATAATGCAAATAGGTAGAAGAGTGTTACAGTGGATAATATACGGTGACAAATATGTAAAAAATGAAGATTATAGGTATTATATATAATATTACCTATTATATTTTTAAAATTGTCTCGAAAGGAAGGACAAAGAGAACTGTGAAATAAATATTATGATTGATTTAAAAAGAAAAAAACGATAAAACAAACAACTCAGTCTACAGCGATAAGAGTTAATCATTAGATAGTGGGCCGGTTTAATATTACGCCGCAGCAGGTTGCACCCATATAATATAATAATATCATAAACTCTATACACACACTCCCCTGCAGTAATACAAACTACAAATACAAGCACACTAGGTACGATTGTGTAATGTTCCTTTATATTATATAAACGAAGACACGTGGTATACACAGAAATCATAATAATATAACATATGAAAATATTAATTTATTCTAGACAGACTAATTATTTAAATATTGTCCAATCGACAGATATACCCTGTATACTATATTAGAACGAAGTATATCGAT